GCACACACACACACACACACACACACACACACACACAGGCACAATTGCATGCACAGGCGCGAATACACAAATAGTCATCGAATGGACAGACGAACACAAAACTGTAAAAATCCAAAAACAAAATCCTCAGATGAGCCACAAGACCCGATGAACTCTGTGAGCAGACCGCCCCCTCCCAGCCCAGGTGTGAGTGCATGTTCTCGAACATGCAGCGAAATGTGAGTGTGAGTTGGTATATTAGTTTTTATTATTGTGAGTATTTCAATAGCCATATATAGCTGAAAGACAAGGAACTTGAGACAGCGGACAAGTTCAGTTACCAGGGGTCTACCATCAGCTCTACGACATCACTTGATTATGAGATCAACACCAGGATAGGGAAAGCAGCAACAACTTTTGGAAGGCTGACAAAACGAGCGTAGAAAAACAAGAGATTAACTGTTAAAACAAAGATCAAGATTTACGAAGCATGCGTCCTCAGCACACTCCTTTATGGATCTGAAACATGGACCTTGTACAGCAGGCAAGAAAAGCGCCTAGAAATTTTCCATGTGTGACGTGGCAAGGTTACAAATGTTAAAGTGTTAGCTCAGGCAAACCTTCAGAGCATGACAACTATCCTTAGTTTAAAAAGATTGAGATGGCTGGGCCATGTCAAGAGAATGGACGACAACCAGATTCCGAAGCAACTTCTCTATGGAGAACTTGCCCACTGAAAGAGACCAAGAGGAAGAGCAAAATTGAGGTACAAAAATACCTTCAAAAACAGCTTATCTAAGCTTGGAGTAGATGTTATCATCTGCGAAGAAATAGCTGAGGACAGGAAAACATGGAGGAAAACGATAAAGGAAAGAACTATAATGCTAGAGGGCAGCCTTAGAAACAACCAGGCTGAGAAGCGCCAACAACGAAAAGAAAACAGCGGAAATACAGAACTTCGATCCATGTCACTGACATGCAAGCAGTGGGACAGAATCTGCTCTTCAAACAAAGGAAGAATTAGCCTTGAAAGAAGCTGCAGGAAGACAACCTTGAGACTATCTTAAGCTAAATTGACCGTCTGATTAGACAAAAAGAGCCGTACATTGCAATAGCTGTAATATTAAGTCGGAAAAGGGGGAGCGCGGTGAGGTCAAGTAGGAGTATGCCTGTTTGACTCATAATATGTCGTTTTAGGGACTACACCTAGAATAAAATTTAATGTTTGGCCACGTGTTACGTTTGTCACCTAGCCAGCCAACCTCGGGAGTCTTTAACACCAAGCACTCAGGCTATAAAGGAAGAGGAATGCCACGTAAAAGGAGGATTAAGGGCGTCAAAGAAACCCTGAGCTGGCCTATCACAGAAAATTGCATCTCCCCTCGACACGTGACGAAAACACAGAATGAAACAGTAAAAGTAAAAAGTAAATAGGAATGGGGAGAATACATACTCGTAGAATATGCAAACATATACCGTGTTGCAAAAGTTCTGTCACACCCACCTTAAAAGTAAAATAACTCATTTACTATTCAACATAGCCAAGAGAAATTTGGTACACACGATCTTTATTCATTTTCTGTTAACATGACTTGAAAAGAATTGACCGATGGCTTTCCTTATTCTAGGGAGATAATATTATTCACACTGACCCTTGCAAAATCCAAATCAAAGCTTGCTTAGTATTGCGTGTGGCATCTTCCAGCTTGAATTCTCTCTCTCTCTCTCTCTCTCTCTCTCTCTCTCTCTCTCTCTCTCTCTCTCTCTCTCTCTCTCTCTCTCTCTCTCTCTCTCAGTGGAACATGGCCATCAACAACATTTTGGTGTTTATGTTTTTGTAGCTGTTTTTTGTTTTACGGGAAAGGGCTGCTAACCCTATGCCTAACCGACCTTAATCGCCTTCTACGACATGCGCGGTACTAACACAGTGGTCCTATTCTTTGCTCCCCTGTCTCTTGGACAGGGCCCCGGGAACCACACGGGGGTCCAGATTGAATTACTGATACAAAACGTCTGTTCATTGACAGAATTAATGTTCTCTTGGTTGCTTGAGGAATCCCCCGGCCATTCGTTGTGAAGTGCAGCCTTCTGTTCCTGGCGAGTTTATACGGAGTGCGACCAGTTTTTCATCTTCCAGTCAAGGTCTTCTGACTCTGATGTTCTGTTGGGTTAAGGCTTCTTGATCTTGCAGGCCAGTCCAAAACAATGATTTGATGAGTTTGGAAAGAGTTTTGACTGATCATGGCCTCATGGGGCTGGGCGTTGTCTAGTTAGCAAGACACGTGGAGAACGAGTTTCGTCACGATACCGTTGTCTTTTGATGTTGCTTTGAAAAGTTACCAAATGTGTATGATAAAGAACAGAGATTCCACCCTACACCAACACATTTCAGGCACCGGATCGGTCCACTTTGTGGACGTTGGCTTTGTGTTATCTCTATCCTCTTCTTTTAAATAGTCTTTCTCTTCCATCAATGAGACGAATTAAAAACCTGAACCATTGGAGGACAGAACACTTTACAAACGTCTTTGTTTCCATCTCCAATATTGTGGTGCCCAGATTTGGCGATTTCTTCGAAGAAACAGGGTTAGAATGGCTCCACATCAAGGGAGAAATCAATCAACACTTCGCCCTCGTACTGCTTCCGGTTTATGATTTCTGTCGTCTGTACATGCACGAGGAGTCTCATAAGTCACACAAAACATACTTTTATTTTTAAAGCAATTTTTTACACTGTAGCGAAAAGTATCGCAATATAATGGGTGTGACAGAACTTTTGTATCTCAGTATATTATGTCTGAGTGTGACATCATACATGGTATTACCATTGGAATTCACAATAATGTGTGAGGGTGTGGGTGGTTCGAGCGTGCCACTGATAGGTCCTGCTCCCCCCCCCCCCCCCCCCCGCCTCCCCCCTTATTGTTCCTATCTGTCCGTCTTTACTCGTTCCCTGCACTATAGGACCGTTGTTGTGTCCATGTGCTACTCTTTACTCAAACAGACAAACAAACAAAAACAAACAAACAAACAACTAAGCAAGAAAAGAAACAAACAAACAAGTAAGCAAACAGAACAATTTCAAGGACTTCCTTTTTCTGTGACTCCCCAGAACTGCTGAGGTCGAATGTAAACAAAACAAAGAGTGTCTCTGGACAGTATCTATCGTTTATCCTACGTGTCTGCATATCATCGCTACAACCACCACCACCACCCCCGCTACCACCACCGTTACCACCACCGTTACCACCAAGGGAGGAGAAATTTTGGTGGTGGGGAGGAGCGATCCCAAGGATCAATCCGGGTAATCTTACAGCTTTACAAAGCTTAACACTTCTTTTGGTTAACAGAATTAAGATAACAAATTCTCGCTCCGAACAAAAATAGTTGGCAGTTCATTTTTGGAATCCTTCGGCAAAGGAGTCGATATATACTGTATTTCCTTTCAGTACAGGACTCCTGTCAACGTAGACAGACAGACAGACAGACAGACAGACAGACGGACAGACAGACAGACAGACAGACAGACAGACAGACAGACAGACAGACAGACAGACAGACAGACTGACTGACGGACCGACAAAC